TAATAAAATATAAATCAAATTAAATAAATAAAATAATGAATAATAATCAAATATTAAAACATGAATATATATTTAATCAAATATATAAACATATATTAATTACATATTTTATTAAATTTAATGAAAATTGATTTTAATATATATCATAAATGTATATTAATAATAATATATTCTTATATTAAATTATTGATTTATTTATTAATAAATAAATGAATAGAATTAATATTTATATTATATTTTATATCATAATATGTTGATTAAAAATAATAAGTATTTTATAAATGAATATATTTCATTTAATTATTTTATTATTATTTCTTATTATCGAATTTTATAATTTCTTATTATTTCTTTTTATATTATTATTATTCTCATTTGATGTATTATTATTGAATTAAATCAATAGAATAAAATGATAATGATGAATAATGATAATAAAATGATAATAAATAGTAATAATAGATAATGAAAATCATAAGAATATAAAAGAAAATATATTTAATGATAAATAAGAAGAATGAAAATAATATAGAAAAGAAATAATAAAATATAAAATGATTTTGTAATTAATTTTAAATTAATATTCAATAAAAATGAATAAGAAGAGAGAATAAATAAAGAAAAGATAATAAAGAAATATAAATGATTATAAAAAGAAATTAAATATATGAAGAAAGAGAATAAGAAATAATAACAATGAATTGTTAAAAATATCTATATTTCTCATTTTATATATTGAATAAATTGTGATATTTTATTAGTTAATTCAATTATTAATTATTCATTATTTGTGTTATATTTTCTATTGATTATCTTGAATTATTCATTACTTTTATTTTATGTTATTTATATTATTCTATATCATCATTATTATATATTATTGATATTATTCTTATTATTTTAATGTTTTCATTCATTTATATTACTTCTCTATCATTTATCATTTTGTATATTAATATAATCTTTGTTTCTTTAATTCTTTCTTTTCTTCTTTTTCTGTTTTTCATATATTTTCATTTCTCATTATTTCTGTTGTTTATCAAATAGTGAATATCATATTATCTTTCTATCTATTATTCTATCTTCTATCTTCTTTTTATTACTTCTTTTTATTTTTGATTGAAAATATGAGATTAATTAAAATGATTATAATTCAATAATATGTGAATTAGAGAATAACATAATTATCAATAATAAAATAATTGAATGATGTAAGAATAAAGAATATATTTATAAATAATATCAATATGAAAATTAACATAGAATGAATTATAATAACATAATGTTTATTATTTAATACTTCATTATTAAATCATTATTCATTTATATTTAAATCATTTCACTTTCATTATTACTTTAAATATATTACTTATTATTAAATATCATAATATCATTTATAGAAACAAATCAATATAATAATAAAAGATAAAATAAGAAATAAGAATAAGAATAAAGAGAAATAGAGAGAAGATAAATTAAATGAAAAGACAGAAGATATCAAATAAAATATCAAATAAAAGAAATAATGATAATAATTGATTGAAATTGAAATAGAATAAAAAATAAAATAAATGATGAAAATTAAAAAGAATAAAAGAAATAGAATAATAAAATAATAATAAAATGAAAGAAATATAATTTAAAATTTATTTACTTTTATATTTATGTTTTATTCTATTTCTTATTATCTTATTTATCATTATTTCTTTCTTATTTTATTTATTTCTTATTTTATTCTTTATTCTTTCTATTCTTTATTATCTTCATTTATTCTTTATCTTTTTCTCTTTTTTATGTATTTATTGTATTCTTCTTTTTTATCTTTCTTATTTCTTTTATTATTTTTATTTCTGTTATATCTTCTTATTCTATACTTATGTTTATCTTTTTTATTTCTCTTATTCTTTCTTTTATTCTCTTTTTATTATTATTTCTTTATCTTATTTATCATCTTTTCTTTTATTATTCTTTTTCTTCTTTTCTATTTCTTCTTTTATTCTTTTTATATCTTCTTTATATTATTTTATATCTATTTTATTCAACTTTCTTATTTCTATTCTTTATATTCATTATTTCTTTCTTCTTTTGTTTTATTCATTTCATTTAGATGTTTATTCATCATTGTTATTTCATATTATTTAAACAATTCTTATTTATGGTGATGAAATATTTGATTATTGATGATTATTTAATGAAGTAATGTGGTACAGAGTGAGTTATTCATCTTATTTAAAATAAAAAGAATTGAATGTATTAAAATTATAGAATATACACAATCAGATAGTTTTGAATATGGAAATATAATCATGATAGAAGTTAAATCATTTGATTTGTTTTAAAGATTATGATATAATATTAATGTTAATTGATATACATTCATCAATTAGTAAATTAGTAAATGAATGTTTTAGATATTGTTCATCATAACAATGTTCACTTTTCAATTATCACTTGATATAATATGATTGAATGATTTAAATGAATGAAATCATTAATTGTAATAATAT